GAGGAAAGGATAATGGAATTTCAGGTAAGAGTTCTCCATAATGAATTCATTCCTTACAGCATGTTAACACCCACCCATGGAATTAGGGACCTTTGTAACACAATGCAACAATTTACTAGACATCACAAAACACCAATTATAGAATTTGACTGAAACGAGCTGCCAAATCCTCTGTTCCTGATAAAAGAAGGATAGGTATAGTCATGCCAGCACATTTTAACTCCTTCCTAAAAATTCACTTGGGTCCATTGTGAATATCCTCAGTGATACAGTAGATTGACTGCAGTGCTATGTGTATGACATGAAAGTAAAATAAAATAAAAATGAATAGGTCATGAACAGCAGTGAATATGAACTCAATTTGGATCATATTTATTTAAATAATTATAGCAGATTGTTAACTTTGAGAATCTCCTGATTTATGCAAGGGAAAATGAAAGAGGGTTGGCTTCTATATTGTATATTTAGCGTGATAAAAGGAAGCCAGTCTGCATGGAAGAAGTGTGCAATTGAAGTTCCTCAGCTGATATTTTATAAAGGCACAATTAAATGTCAGTACTTTACAAAGAACTCTTAAATCCTAAGACTGAATTTCATCTGTTTTTACTGGTAGCAGAGTACCAAACTGTAAGCAGAACTGAGCAGGATCTGACTTTCCATCACAGACAGTTAATAATTAAATCAAACATTATATTCAACAATAGAACATATGCATCAGCTTCTTTCAAATTGCATTTCCTTCCTGTTAGATCCATTAGTGTAAACCAGACTGCCTTTAGAAAACCCCTTATTGCTGCTGTCTTTCAGCACAGTTCCTGAAATGGATAATGTGGTGCATATTATGGGCAATTACACAGAACTCTCTAGTGACAGGGTTTTAGAGTTTCAGAATAAAACAGCTGGAACTACAGGGCTGTAAACTAATCGGAAAAAGAGACAATAGTAGCACATTTAATGCACGTTGTTAGAACACGGACAAAGACTAGATGTGAAATACTACATATCACTATACCTACTATATTGCACAGCATCTTCACTGCAAAATCCCATTTAACTCTTGAAAGACAAGGCAGTCAAAAGCCAAAGATTTTTTCATGAACAAATGCATGCACAGCTCTATAACCGGAGCTAATTAGAGGAAGAAGCCTTGATCCAGAGCTGTGGTTTTCTCTTAATGTCAGTGTAGATTGAATCAAATCCAGAACTCTATTCAAAAATTATAATTTATTAATGAATGCATAATGAATACATACCTACATATGCTAAAAAATGATGTCTCCATCCCTCTTTTACTGAGTATTTAACATTTGTGTTGCAAAAATTGCATTTGCTGTTCGATATATCTCAGATATTGCCACAATGCATAGTGTTTGATCCTCCATCAGTTTAAATTGATGGCAAAGCTCCCATTAATATTAGTAATACAGCAGTGAATTTTTAGAATAGCACATGCATCATTTAAAAGCACAATGACCATGATTACATGTGTAATCACAGTAATTGTGCACACAATTACTGGTTGGGTATCTAACTGCCTTTCAAAAATCAGTTGCTCTACTTGTGTGTATACTCACAGTAGTCACTTGTAAAAATGCAGTGCAGCCCAGAGCATCCCCACCTCTGTGCTTGCCCCTGAAATACTACAGGGGAGGACTTGTCTCTGGCAGTAGGGATGTGGGATAGAGAGGTATATGTTTACATTGCAGTGATTTGAACCATAAATAAGAAAGGGAGAGAAATAGCTGCAGTATCTCTTTGGGAAAGTAAAAATGTAAAATTACTTCAACTAATTTTTCAAAAGGACAGAGACTGATTTGCACCAGCTCTTGTCTTGTGAGCCTCCTTATCAGCAGTGTCCAGCAGGCATGGGCATGTTAATGTTTTATAATGGTATGGCAAAATGATCAAATAATATATGAAATAACAGCATCATACTAGAATATAACAAAAAAAAAAAAAAAAACCAAACAAAACCACACTGAGTAAAATTTTGCAGCTTAAAAAATTCAGAAAACAACTAAAGTTTTAACATAATGCAGTACCCAAGAATCAACAACTGTGGCTCACTCTAGTTTAAAAGGTGACCCCTTTTGCTCAGAAGGTTGATTCCTGTAGCTGCAGAGGTATAGAAAAAAACATCCTCCCTAGAAAGGGATAAGACTTCCAGATCCATCCTTTTGCTCAGTGAAATGGTAGCTGGAGAAAGTTTTACACAAGCCATTTTATCCAGTTGTCCCCCACAGTCCTGGTCTCCCTCCTCCCCTGGGCCATGGCTTTGCTTTCCTGGTAGCAGCTTTATGACCCCACAGTGGAGGGGAGGGATGGAGGAGCTGGGCAGGCTGGGCCTGGCAGCCTGGCCCTGCTTCTCCCAAGGGAAGACTGGGCCATCAGTCCACATCAGGGAAAGCAGGTGTCATTAACAGAAAGTGAAAGCACCCTCTCCCAGGGGAGGAATGGGCCCGGTTGCAGGGCATGGGGGCACTGGAGTTGTGTTAGAATGAGAAGTAGCACAGCCTCTCCAGGAGCCCCCTTGCTGGGCAGGGACAGCCTACAGCGCTCACTCCGAGGGACTGGGCAGGACAGGATCCCATGAGAATGGGTCCCCCTGCTGCCCTGACCCTATGGGAGAGCAACTGTCTTTCAAGATGGAAGAATCAAAAATTGGCAATGAATGAAAAATTAACTTTTTCTGAGGCTGCCAGTGGCTGGAGGAGGACAGCTGGACTGAGAGGCCTTCAGCAGACTACATGTTGTATGTTTACCAAGGAGGAAACCTTGTAAAATGTGCTGGGGCAGATGTAGTGGTTACAAATCACACGTGCTGTCTAATTAAGATCTCAATATCAAATGTTGTAATGTTTGACAATATCTGGTTCTCGACTCACCTTGTTTTAGAGGTGGCAATTTTGACGCTCATCTCCATATGTGAGATTTCAGTCCCATCAGAGTTTGGGAAGTTTGGTCCTGGGCTCTGGTGTGCTGAGAAGACAACAAATGTATAGTCTCTGTCAGAAAGAAGAGGGAACAGTGGTCAGATGCTTGAAAAATGTTTCTTCTGCTACTGGAAAGCTTCAGCACCTTTCCCTTCAACAGCATCAGCTTGTAGCTGAGCTCACTGCATGCATGGGTGTGCTCCCTGAATTCTCAGAGCCCATGGCTACAGTGACTTGACATGTTTTCAGAATAGCTTTATGTAAGTTAATCCAGATGGCATGTCCTGTTGCCTCTGTACAAATACCTAGTAAATAGTTTTTTAAAACTTTCTTGAAGCACGATTCCCTTCTTGATTCTCTACAGCCATCCTGCTGATCATTGTAGCAGATTCTGTTCTTAATTTCACTACAATAAACATGAAGTAACCTCATTGACATCCAATCAGAGTGAATTTCAGCTCACTGCATTGCCTTGGGTCTGCAGTCTTGTACACAGGAGCTGTTCATGTAGACTAAATTCAGTACAGAGCATTAAACACTGTCACGTTTGTAATTAACATTAGAGAGCTAAATGAAGCCTTGAAGCTATGAAATCCCTTAAGTCCTATAGAAAACATTTCTTTATACAGATCTGAAGTGTTATTCGAAGAAATTCACCCTAAAAGATGGAGAATTGCTGGGACATGAAGAACATAAGGCTCTAAGACTGTATATTGGAGAAAAGTTCCCTCAGAAGTGTGCATTTAGTCACCTTTGGTGACACATGCTGCCTTGCCTGTCACCTCTGCAAGTGTGGCCTCACTTTCACTGTTATTGCAACATGTGTCAAATGAAATGAAAACAGAGATTTGGGAAAGGATATAATTAACCTACTTGTAAACATTAACCTTAAATATCTTGCTAATTATCTCACTAATTTAATCACTGCAGATCTCAAACTTGTTTGTTAAATATTTAATTCTGCAAATTGTTTTTGATACAGAGGTGTGGGAAGCTTTCTGTGAATGTAAGTTACTTTGTAAAACTCCGTAAAACCATTGTTATGTTCACACTTCATTGAACAAACCCTCCTGTCAACAAGACTTTTAATGGAAATCACAAGCAACTGTGCCTTAAGGCAAAGAGATATAGTGCCCTATTATTTTAAAATCTAATGAACACATTGTGTGGAGTGTAGACCAGGGTAGATTTCTTCCTGCACATCTTCAGGTTTGATTCTATGAAAGTCTAGACTAGCAAGCTCTGGGTTTCCTTGTTCCTTTGGTTGCAGTGAAGCAATACAGCTTTTTCTTACCAAATCACCTCTGTATTACTTGAGTAACTCAGCAAGATTATATCCTTGAATTTCAGCCCTTTTTATCAAGTCACTACCTTGGGCTACAAGGAACCTAAAAGGTGTTTTGATACTCCAGTTATGATGCCACCCAAAGTGCCTCTAATTATTCCCTAGAGGAAGCTCTCGAATTTAGTATAGTGTTTGTTGAGAAGCTGAAAGCTCTGTTTTTGTTCCTTCCTCCCTGATGGGAAGGGGGCTGTGCTCATGCTGCCTCCTGCAAACACCCACGGCACAGCCAAGCATTGCAGGGCATGGGGACACCTCCAGTGCTGAGGCTGGGAGAGGAAACAGGCGGGATGTGGGTGCTGGGAACACCCCGGATGGAGTGGAAGGCTAAGCCAGGACACGCTGGGGACATCCCAGATGGAGAGGATGGCTGAGCTGGGACACGCTGAGGAAGGAGTAGAAGGCTATGCCAGGACATGCTAGGGACATCCTGGAAGGAGTAGATGGCTAAGCCAGGACACACTGAGGAACATCCTGGATGGAGTGGATGGCTAAGCTGGGACACACTGAGGAACATCCTGGATGGAGTGGATGGCTAAGCTGGGACACACTGAGGAACATCCTGGATGGAGTGGATGGCTAAGCTGGGACACACTGAGGAACCGCCTGGATGGAGTGGATGGCTAAGCTGGGACACCCTGAGGAACAGCCTGGATGGAGTGGATGGCTAAACCAGGACACACTCTGGAGGCTGGAGGCACACAAATCCTCTGTCCCATGAGAAGGCAGGGACTCACACCCTCAGGTGTGCAGTTCTTCCCTCAGACAGGAGCCCCATGTTTCAGGCTGTACCCCCATGGCAGTTCTTTGTCAGTGTTATTTTCTCCATTTCTGATATATTTTTCTTCTTAATTGAGGAAGAAGGTAGAAGACTGGGACTCGCATTGTGTTTCTGACTGTAATTCTTACTATCAGAGGAAGGTGCAAAAGTATGCTAAATTCAGGTGGCGGCTCACAGCAGACCTGTGACAAGAGCCATTTGATTAGTCAGGTGTCCATATAAATACCTATTTGGGACTATAATACTACCTTATCATATATTGTTTAGAATTTCATCCTGATTGTCTGTGGTTTTTTATTACACACTTATGTACTGGTTAGTTCAATAAAAAACCAAATTTCTGTGCATTTAGCTGAATAAAGCTCTGTTTGTTCCTGTTAGTTATATGAATTCTTTCTATGCATTATCTCAATTTCTGGGCATTTTTCCCTTAATTTACTCCAAAAATTACTTCAGTACTTATGAATACTGAAAGACAGCCAAGACAGGACGAACTTTTGGACAATTTATACAAACATGACAGATGATAATAGATTTACTGTAAACATGTCAGGCACAAAAGACTTGACTGCTTTTTTAAATACAGTGATACTGGAAAAGATTTATGGATATTTTCAACTCTTCATTAAAGAGAAAATATTTTGAAACTATAGGCTCTATCCTTTTATCCATTTTTGCCTTCCAGGCTAAGTTGCAAACCTTTGATGTTTTCTTCACCAAAAAATAAAAGTAGTTATGAATTTATTTCTTCACAGTACTTTCATTTTTGTGTCATTTTACAGTTTTTATTACATTCCTGGCAGTCCAAATGATGGTGTTTGGAGAGTACCTTGAGTCCACAGCTCTAAGTTTTCTGAAAATAAGGACTAAGTTCACTTAATGATGGGTTCTGGCTACTGTATTTTTTCTTCTTTAGTAACAAAAGGTTAATGAAATCTCTGAATACTTTAACTGCCTGTTAGACCAACCAACCAACCAGTTAAAGGTTATTCTATTCTAAATGACTGGACGCTATTTGAATTGATAAAAGTTAACATGGCATAGCTAGTACCTGTTGGATCAGGTTAATAAAAAGCAAAGTCTTAGACTTGAAAATCATGTATAAATATGGTTGCTGTAGTTGACCCAGATATCAATTTTTACAGCCAGGTGTATTCTTAACTCTTATTGTCGGAGTCAGCTTCCGTGCCCTTACAAATCAATAGCAAGCCTTGCTTTCAACTTCAGTGCAGCTGATGTTGTTGGCAGTCAATGGTTTTGCAAGATCAGTTCAAGATATTGGAATGGTTTCAGAGAATTATTGGATTCTTTCTTTCTGAAATAGTGTTAAACTCGTAAGTAGGAATTTAAGGAATTTAAACGTGAAAATATATGCACTTGCACTGCTTCTTAAAACTAGTGTATCTTGCCAAATCTCCTATCAAGTCAAAGCAGTGCACCAAAATGATAGCAGAAAGGATTGTGCAGTGCTCAAACATCTTATCTGGCATACTCACAGTGCTGAGCATGCCCTCATTTTTGAATAGTGGGGAAAGATGGAGAAAGAGGAGATTTGGGTGGAAAATAACAGTTTTCATTGCAACCTTAGAAGAATGTTGGCAATTTTGTAACAGAATTATTTACTGTTCTGAGACCATTCAAAGGAAGGCTGGAGGCTTAATAAAGGCTTCATTTTGGAAGAATGGATAGCTGAAAGTAGTATTTTACTAATTCTTATTGGAGGCACATTTCCGGCTTTTGAAAATTAATTTAAGAGCCACAAACCAACACACATTTATGAATAACATAGTGCTGTTGGAGATAATGCAAATGTCTTTATAAATAACATATTATAGCTTAAATCATTATTTTTAATGCCTCTTTTTTTTCCCTATATGAACAGGTCTGTACTGGTCTGCATTAATTAAATGTAGGTAGGTTTGTAAGGCCAGATCATCATTACTTCTATGTCCCTGATTTAAATCTGCAGTAAAACATTTCTCCATTTAGTTTGGTGCTTTTGTGTCATATTTCATACACTAGTTGTCTCTTAATTAAATCCATGATAGCCCACCAACACAGACTATTAAAATAACTATACTTTGCACTTGACATATTTATGAGACAGATTCATAAGAGTATAGACTGATACTTGAACTACTCACTGAGAAATGCTAATAAGATTATGATGAAGGTAAGATTAGAACATTCGTCTCCTTTTCACTTCTCTCTTCTTTATAGGAATTTATTTTTATAACTGCAATTCACTATTTCTATTCCAGGCTCTTTGATGTTGCTGTGTATACCAACAGTCTTTCTGTGTCGATTTATTGTGGCAATGAAGAGTGGGAAACTGCTAATTTATATCACCAGCAAAGTGCATAACTGTTGTGTTCCTTGAAGTATGAATGTTTGCAGACGTCTCTAAACCTTCACATGGGACTGACATGTTCAAGATAATACCTTTGGAATTGGGTGATGAAAAATATGGATGATGGTAAAGTGCCACATTGTTTTACTTTTATTGTCTTATTCCTTCAACTCTCCTGGTGGTGTAGAGCTGGCTGAATCTGCTCCTGGAGGAGGGAGGAGACAGTGACATTGTGCCTGTGACCCCTCAGTGCCTGTTTCTGTGCTCCTTCAGTGCCTGTTCCTGTGCCCGTGACCCCTCAGTTCATGTTTCTGTGCCAGGCAGGCCATGCCCTTGCCCATCCCTCAGCTGTGGCAGATGCAGTGGTGTGTCCTGAGCTCTGCAAGCTGCTCTGGGCAGCTGGACTGTCACTGCAGTGTTGGAAATGGCCTGGGTGTATGGCCTCAGTGGGTAAGGAAAACAGAAAGGCAAGCAAATCCACAAATCATATCACTAGAAAGGCTATTAGACATATGCTAAGATTTGATCATTCACCTGTATAGATATCTTGGAATTGCCTTCTTAGCATTATATACAGATAGAGCTGCTGATATAATTTGTTTGTTAACTTTCTTAGTAATTTGGATGTGGAAAGTTCAAGGAACTCCATGTTTGAGAAAAATGTTGCTAGAAGTGAAAGAACTGCTAAATGAAAATAATCAAGGATTTCTATCATTTTTCAGGACCATGATGTTCACATCTTAGGGACCTTTCCTCTCTATTTTTTCAGATTCCCATTCTCGCATGGAAGAGCTTCCACTCATCTTTGTTTTGGGGTCCAGGTGTGGGTACAAATGGAAAGGTCTCTAAATACATGCAGCTTGAAAGGAATGTATTTTACAAGGGGAGTCTATAGAAAGCCATGTCTACATGATGCTCAGATGTTCAGGAGGATAGATACATTGCTCTGTTTCACCCTGTTATTCTCTGTGAATGCAACAAAAACATCAAATTCTGGGATTTAATTTAGAAATAAATACAGTATTAAAAAGTAAGAATAATAAAGTTATATTAAATATTTCATCCTCTACAGAAATAAACCAGATATAGTTCAGGGAGCTTCACTAAACACATTAAATCTAATAAAATTGCCTACACGTACTCCTGACACTAGTAGTAATTAAAATAACTTGTTTCAAAAAACTGGTCCTATACATGAATACTTATTGGCAATTATTTCCAAGTTCTTCAAACCAAAGATAAAGTAATTTGATTCACACACAATGTTCTTGTAAACGTGGTTCATACTGGGTTTTATATGCAGCTTAGGACTGTTAATTGCCGTTTTGAGCCTCACAGTAAAATAGAGTTCAATATGTCGCTTTTTCTGAAGTATTGAGAAATGTTTGAGAAATGCTTGTCTTAGTCTAATCAACTGTGAATAATTTATTTCTGAGTCCTACTTTTCAGTATAAATGGATCTGACTTTTCTCAGAGCTTCTCAAGTCTAATCAACTTGTTGCATTCATTTAATTAAGGAAATCTGTAGCAAAGTGTGAAGTCTAAGTACCAACAGGCCTTTTTTGTTCTGCAAAATTAGTGTATTTTCATTGTGAATGTGATTATGATTGTTTATACTTACAGGTAGCCTCCACTGAAGAAATCAGGGTTTTTTTCTACACTTATGGGTCAATATGAATAGCACATAAACTGTTTTCTGAACTGTCTCTCTTATAGTGAACCCACTACCCAGCTTCCCAAATTCACACAAAAGTAGCTTTCAGGCAATTCTCATTTCTGGAAGGGTTATGAGTGTTCTTCCATGCCCCAAAGGGGAGGAAGATATAATAAAGGTATAACATACTAGAGTGGGGATAAGAGACTGACTTTTTAGTCACAGTTTGCCTGAAAAAGATAATCATACTTGAGGATTAAAGCACTGGCACAAGCTCATGGTCAAGATCTGCATGCCACAGAGTCAGCCACAAAGGGATGAGCTAAGGTGCTGATTCAAAGTCCTGGCTGTTTCCCAACCTTACATAATTTGTTCTCATTTCTCTGAGAAATCAGCATTCTAGGAAGGGAATAGCTGGTACAATAAAGGGCTTTGACATTATATATGCATTTGTTTTTAAAAGGCCCTATATTTATTTGCTAATAAATGTTCAGAAGTCCATCATTCCTTTCATATTTGTGTGATATGAGGAATATTTTTTATTAGAAATATAGAGAGATGCTGTGGAGATTGACATATTATTTTTTTTCTCCTTATCCTCAGACAAACTCCAGACTCAGAGAAAACATCCTCAACCCTGGTCTACAATACTGTCCAGTGCTTATGGGTTATAAAATGAAAATCATCAAAACTGCCCTTGACAGGATGTTTCTTTCCATTAGTTGATTAAAATGGTTTATTGTTGCCTACAGCATTGTTACTTTAAATGTAATTTTTAACAAAGAGCAGATGTGGCCATGTCTTGCACTATTTCTCTTTCTGTGGTTTCTGATACAGAAATGAATCACTCCGCAGATCCTCCTGTGGGGAGGGAGAGGGAAAGGTGAGGGACTCAGCGATGGGCTGGGGTATCAGCTGGGGGGGGGGTTGTGCAACAGTACTGCAGAAAGTTGGAGGCAAAACATGCAAACCTTCAACCAGCAAGTGCTCAGAGTAGAAGAAAACCCCAAAATCTTGAATTATCTGCCTGCCATTGCCGTATGTTTGCTCTGACAAAGCAAGAAGTGGGTTCTGACATTTTTTCAGACTGACAACTCTTAACGTTTCAGATACAGTGTGGAAATGGAGAGTAGATGATCCTAAAACATTAAACAAGGTTGTATCCCCATGAACTCTCATCTATCCACTGCTCACTGCTGTTACAAAGAGAACTGAAAAAGTCCAAGTCTTTGAGATGTATGTTAAATCCCTTTGTTTCTTGTCACCTCCATGTTTGATGGAGGAGCTGAAATCTCAATACAAATCCTATTTCCAAATCTAGGGGTCATTTCAAGCAATAGTTACAGAAAGGTACCTTTCCATTTCCTAGCACAAGTTTTCTAAGGCATGTTGTCATCTGATGATAATAGGGTCTTTCACTAGCCAATCTCAAATTATTGGCCATGTGACCTTATATTCAATAAATATTTATTTGAGAATCATAGGTTAATTAATTTCCATTGTTTCTGTTTTAATTCTATACATGCTTATACTATACAATTAGAGAAAAACACAGACAGCCACGAGTAAATGTTGCTCATACAAAATGTTTCTATTACCCTTTACTTTTAAAACCATTAATAGATTATTAGGAGATATAAACATTGGAGACCATGGATCATATTTGCATGTTAATCAAAGCCATGAATTATACATTATTTTCTATGGAGAGTACTAGAAACAATATTCCTCCTTTCTTATAGCTATAAAAGCTGGAGGTTTCCTGGAGCACAGATCACATCCCCTCTGCAATACCTTCTAATAGAAAGAAAGAAATCCAGCTTTTCAAAGCAATCTCTCACTAAATGAAATAGATTTGTTTGTGTTGCTTTGCAACACACAAGTGTGACAGTTCATTTTAAACAAAATAGTTTTAATAATGTCATTACTAATATCTCTTTGGTCATCTCTCTGAAAAATTGTGTTTTAATAGGACTGTTTCATTTTAATAAATGGCAGAAGAGGCAAGCTGCCCTGAGTCAGCAGGAAGTGGATATACACCAGAGAACAGGCTGATTGTGTTAGATTCATCCAGAACATTGAACAGCACACAGACAGTCCAAGAAAAAGCAACTGGCTGTATTCAAATGATTAGTCTTACTGCTATGCTGTAGCACAGATTCACACATTCTTCTATTATTCCTTGACCTTCTGCCAAAAACTCCCACTTCAAGTAATAATTAGAATTAGTGTTTCCAGTGCATGCTTCCATCTTCCTAACAAACAGTAATGAAATGTGGCTTTTACAAAATATGCAGTTAATTAAACTTTTTTTTTAACATTGTTTGATTAATACAGTTCCCCTGTGCTAGCCCCTCATTATGCCTGACTACCTGGGATTGGTGAATTGAAAGAAAAGCACTATCAATAAGATGAGTGAGATTTCAGAATTTTGCACTTTAAAATTGCTTGTGCTTTTAATTTTTTTTTTCTTTTTCTTTTGTTTAGGTCTTGGAATAAACTGAAAAGACACCCTTTATTTGTAATCCTGTTTTTTTAAGCTGAGGACAGTATGTGTATTATATAACAACTCTACTAATACCCTCAGTGTGAATTTGAAGAACACATATATCAAGTGCTACAAGATAACAAGTGCATTTCTAGGCAAGCTTTTTGAAAAGGTGTATCAGCACTGTATTGCTTAATAGCACTATGCAAATAGATATTCTGATTTCATTTAAAAATATTATTTCATGCTTTTTAACTGTCTGCCTTAATTATCCAAATGCTAAACAAGTATAGTCTTTTGATTGATGAGAGTTCCACCCCTTTACCCACACCCCTGCAGATATGAGGCTCCACAGTTTAGCACCATAAATCACTGTGATTGTAAAACTTAACTACTGTATGATCAGAGATCACATGCAGTGGTAGCCTGGATATGCTTTCATCCTTTGTTATGAACGTTTTAGGGCTAAATTTATTCTGGATGTTTGGAGAAATATCTGTTTCTTCACTTAAGAAAGCAATGCATTTTAAATAAGCAATTCTTGCGACAATTGGAAATAATCACAGAAGTCTTCTATTTGCAATCTTCATTAATGTGAGTTATTTCATCACTTTAGGAGAAATCTTTTCAGAGGAAAACAACAATTAAACCCCTCCCCCCAGACTCTGACAGCTAAGGATCTATGGATCAGCCATTTTAGTAATTAACCACAATTCCTCTGATTTGTGAATTTCCAGATGATGAGGCAGGAAGCAAGTTACATCTTGGAGAAATTGCCCTCAGGAGAGAGGAAAAACTATTGCGAGGTTGACAGCACAACCTTGTACCGGCACAGTTTCCCTTCCCCAGTGGTTCAAGGAGTTCCAAGCACCCTCCTGTAAATCATCAGCTCACATCTATTTATTATCTTCCAGCCCAGTGCACAACACTATCTGTTACACACGGATACCAGCAATATTGCAAGGTGGACTCAAGGGATAAAAGACAGCAAACCCTGCACACCTCCTATGCCTGAGTCACACCCACTATAAAGCCAGCTCTGTTCATAAAGCTCATGCTGTTGTCAGAAATGAAACAATATGAACTGTTCTGGTTCAGAGTAGTGCTTTTGTAGTGTTTCTCCAATATGCTTGATCTTACCGTCTTGATAGCTTTGTGTTATTATACAGAGACAAAATTTATCTGCATAGTAATGGACAAAATGTCTATGAAAATATTGCTATTCATTCAATGATTGTTGTTATATTTGGACTAGGCGCCAGCCTCACTCTGTGATGCCTGTCCTGGAATATCAATAAATAAATCATAAAAGCCAATGCTTCAAATATTGAAAAATTCACACTTCAAACTGTGTTTTGAACTATACTGAGAGCAATGCCTCAGATTGTCCTTTTGCTTTATATGAACAGAAGAAATTCAAAGTAGGAGGAAGTGTCTCCTGGGATTTGGCATAGGGGAGTGCCACAAACCATCAGCCTTCCTGTCTCTGCTGTGCCAACGAAGCCTCTCCTGGGATGTACCACGAGAAGCAGACAGTGTGTCTGGGGAGTTAATGTGGCTTCAGATGAAATTATCTCCTGCAGAATCCATCTTGCCTGTTGTTTAAGTGCATGCAAAGGAGCCAGGCAGTGGTGAGGAGCCAGACCACAGCAGGACAGGTGAAGGCACAGAAAAAAGTAGAAGCATTTTCCTACGACTCTGTTAAGTGAAGTTCTTTGCACCACACACTTATGCTGCTAGTGAAAATGGGACATCACACCTCTTTTTCTCCTTCTGTCTGGAGCCCAAATTTGGCAAGAGCAAACTTACTGAAGTCCCCACTCTGTTGCCCATTTCACTCCTCACTAGTAACAGATATCTAAATTCTATGGTGTGATTGACAGCATTAAAAGGAGAAATGAGGGCAAATGTCCTTCTGAAAAGTACACTCTAGTTCAAGCCCAAGTGTTTGGGCTGATGCCCAAGTTGCAGAATGACTTTCCATGGTTTGCATTGTGTGGGGGACCACTAGGCAATTCTAATGGTTCTTTTTATTTTGCTTTAAAAGCACTGAAATTAGATGAAAGCTAGAAGTAGGAATGGTATTTTGTAGTAATTGTAAATGCAAAGCTAGATGAGCACTAGAAGTCACTCAGGTACATCTATTCAAAGGCCAGAAGAAAAAGCACTGCAGGTATTCAGTGCTTTATCTGATTAGAAAACAGCCTGGCACAGATGTGATTTCTGCTCCATATATCAAGCTATGGCAGGCTTTTGCTGCTTCATTATGAAAGCATGTGAAGTAAAATAGGTTTTGGAACATAAAAAATGACAAATTTGGAAAAATATCTATATGCCAGATGGGTGTAGGAAGAATCCTTGTGACAAATATATTATTAAGGGAATATGCATAAGGAAAGAAACTGTGCCCAGTTCTTCCAGGGATGGACAGGCAGGAAGGTAGCGTCTCACTGTGTCTAATGTATTCTCATCTAATCTAAATCTAATTAATTATGTTGCATCGCTGACAGACAATCTGGGCACTGCACACAACAATGGAAGGCCGCACCGGGGCTTCGGGAGGGCTGGCGGTAGCTTCGCCCTCGCTGCTTTTGTTCCCGGCGCCGGGGGAGCGCAGGTCGGGGTGACGCCATCTCCGCCGGGGCGGGCAGGGTGAGCTCATCCCGGCCCCGCCGCCTGGCCTGCCCCGGGCAGCTCTCGGAGCGCTTGGGCGCAGACCGTGACCGCTCCAGCGCGGCTTCTCCTCCTATTCCGTGAAGAAACACGAGCGTTTCGGAGGGGCTGTCGCGCTGCACTGATGCTTTTGGGGCCGAGCTCGGTGTCTGGGCTGCCTCCGGCGGCTCAGCGCGCAGCTCCCGGTGCAGGGCAGGAAGGGCTGCGGCACCGGGAGCTCGGCCCCCGAGCCCTGCTCGGAGCCGTGCGTGGGACAGCTCCGCGCTGCCGGGCTGGGGACACGGCGCACAGAGAGGAGGCTGAGCTCTGCTCCAGGAGGCGCTGGGCTGTGCAGCAAGCCGGCCATGGGCAGGGCTGAGGGACGGGGAAACTTCGGCTTTGCAGGGTGGGGCCGGTGGGATCCTTCAGCCCAGAACGGGTGGGGCCAGGCCTGTAGGCCCTTGAGGAAACATCACTGCCTCTTCTTGAAAGAGGCAAGTCAGTATTTCAGCCTCTGGAAGATAATAACCCGGAAATAACCCCCGCTCTGGCCGGCCACTCCCATCTGGGCGGCTGACCCGGTCTGATGAGGCCGTAACAGCGGCCAGAGGAGCTGCGAGGGGATAATCACACCCCGAGCCTTTGGTTATTGCCAGAGATGTGGAATACCTGGTCTGGGTTCAAGGTGTGACGATCTGGCCGTGATTCATGCGTTCAGAACTGAAACAGAAATGGAGGTAGGGAGGGTGGTATGGCAATCGTATCATTTGGCTTCACATAATTTGATTTTACTGATGCCTCATCCACTGTCTGATTACTCTTTTCCTATTTAATCCCAGCCAAACCAGGAGGCTTTTGCTCACAGGCTTTTAGTACTATTTTATTTGGCAGTTATGGAATAAAAGAATTTTAGTATTGCCTTAGAATTTCTCCTGACATCTATCACAACCAATCCAGCTCATATGTGGGTGAACTGTGTTTTGATCCAATTATAAAATTCTATTGGAGTCTTGTTACATTCTTATCCCATGTGCATGTTGAAAAATTCAAGAGCAAAAGAAAATTCTACAAAATGTTTCTCATTTACTGTAGGCTTGGAGACACAAAACTGCATCACAGTCATTTGTGGAGGCTAATAGCAAACTAGAAAAACAACGTATTCTTCAGGAAAAAACCCACCCTGTTAATCAGCAGCAAGACTTAGAGGGAGAATAGTACAATCTGTGTATAGATATTACTGGCAATCATCTTTTGGAGACACAACATTACTTTTGTTAATTGTTGTAACGAGAACTTTGTTGATGTTCGTCCCAGAAGTTACAATGAAAAAGGATCTGCCAGTCTGAAGACATTTTGGAGGGTGCATAAAAATGACAAATTTGAAAAAACCCAGACACAAAATGACCAAGGTAACACATAGCTAATGTCCCAATGGATTGCAATGACTATAATACTTAAAAATGAAGATACTTTACACTCTTAGCATCTCTATAGCAAAAATGCATTATTAAATCAACAGCCCATGCACTATTTGATTACCATGATGGAGATGTTGATCTAGGATATTTCTGTCTCAACACTTTCACTGTCTTCAGGCTACAAAATATAATAAAAGGAATTAGGTGTCTTCCTTGCTCATCGGCTATAGAAAGCCATGCAGAGGCATAGCTTCACAGACAGAGTGCTGCTCCCAGGGGAGGAAATGCACTTGCTCCAAAGCTCTCTGGCTCCATCCTGGTGGAGTCTCTCATGCACCTACAATCCGAATCCCCATCCTAAAGCTGGGATGTGCCAGGACCAAGCCAGCAGCCCTGGGCAAGAGCCAAGCAACAGTGGCAGGGCCAGGGCCGAGTCTGGAGCTCAGACTTCAGCTGGGAGCTGTTCAGCCACATGGAAAAGCCAACAGCTCTTTGACTTTCCCAAATACTGCTTGGAATTCATCCCTTTCTGGTCTGTAGGGGTCCTGTGACTGCCCCCAGGAGCAGAGGCTGGGTGGCACTGCTGGGATGGACCTCTGTGCCCTGCCCAGCTGGGCTGTGTCCTCCGTGTGAGCCCCAGGCCACTGTGCAGCAAGGCAGCAGCAAGGTGCTGGGGGTGGGCAGGACACGGGCAGCAGCAAGGTGCTGGGGGTGGGCAGGACACGGGTGGCTCTGCAGATGCTGGCCACAGGCACCCTGCACTGCTGGGCTGGCTCAGCCTGCCCATGCTGCTGCTGTGGAAATGTGCAGGGAGAGGCTGGGAGGGGAACACCCAGCAGTGCTCACCAAAGCTGAGCAACCCAGCTGCATGCAAGGATGAGAGATGCATGTGTGCCCACAAACCATGTTAGGTTGTTCCCAATGCTGCCTGCTCTTGGTTACATCAGTTTGGCCTCTCTGTGATTCCAGTAGCTTGATAGTTTATCCCCTTTTCCTTATTTTTAGGGTACAGACCGGTTGTTGGTCCACCCCTTCTGGAATGCTGTCTTTTTCTGCACCCCATGGGAGGCTGATAAATGTGGCACCCCTCCCCATGGCTTCCCCTGGTCACTCTGAGCCCCATTATTAAGCTCTGACACAGAAATCTGTTTAGTCACAGAAGCAGATTGCTTCCATGAAGCACAGAAATGTAATTTGCCAGTACTTAAGCTACAATATTGAATACTAACATGAAGTTCCTTTCCCTTTTCAGTTCTTTATAGCAAAAAATACTTGGTGTGAAATCTTGTTTCTATAAGGGTCAGTGATAAAATCTGCATCAGTGACAGAGCAGCTTCTGCCCTTCCTCTGGTGAGTGGTTTTATTGGTTTTGCATTTAAAGCTGTTCCAATGCATCAGTGCTTTCATTGCCAGTCCAGAGCACTCCTACACTTGCAAAGCTGGTGGAGAGGTCATCTCCATATTCCCCTTGGCCCGGCCGTGTCGCAGGCAGCCGGACAGCCTGTGGGGTTTGCCCTGCAGTGCCAGTGGCCAGGGTTTCAGCTCTGAGGCAGAGCACACTCCAAGAGCAGCCGTAAGCCAACACTCCTCACCTCAGGCTCCAGCCCACTGTAGTTAATCATTAAATAATTCTCCTGGTGATGTTATCCAGTGCTGATAAATTACAGATTTCATTGTTTTGCCTGGAGCGGCATTAAATTGTGTTAATTTCATTGAAGATTGACACTGGCTTTTATTTCCTTTTGCTACTGTTTTGTCCTGTAAAGTGACACTGTCTACAGACTTCAGATTGCTCATATAATTGGTACAATAGATTTTTTTCTTATATTTGGAGAAAATTTTAATCAGAGCCTTTGAAATACCAAGAACTTTGAGATCAATAAAATACTAATGATAGTGTATTAGAAAAGGAATATTAACACAAATCAAATAGCTTTTAAAACAACGTTATTGTTGACTATGTTTGTTTTACATGTGATCTCAGAATGATTTCTAATTTTATACGGCAGTGAATTTATTCCACCTACAATACACGTTTCTGACACAGGGTTTTCTCAAAAACTGAAGATAAAATACATTATACATCTTCCTGATGAGCCAAATTCTCATCGGTCTGATTCTCTCCTTTGGCAAAAGGAAAAATATCCCCAGGTAGTCCTACTCTTTTCAGGCAGAAGAAAAAGGCTGTTTTAAGTTAGTGGGATCTTGATCTGTTCTTTGATGACAAATCCCACCTGTTTTGGAAC